GCCTGCACCCCACGCGCGCCCTCCGCTCCAGGCCTGCACACAGCGGGCCGACGCGGTCCCCAGGGGAAGTGACTTCAGCGGGATGGCGCCGAGACTGGAGAGGAGCGGCTATCGCCCAGAGCAGAAGCGACTGGGAGCCGGAAAGCCTCCGCTTTACTCCACCTGCGACTTGCTTAGTGCTGCACAAATAGTGCGCTGGTGTTTCGTTTTGCTTTTTGTTGTTTTGTTTCTTTGTCTGTCTGGTGCTGGGGTTGAACGAAGAGATTCGAGCCTGCAGAGCAGAGCATAATCTCTACCACCCTTACCCCTTTTGAGACAAGGTCCGAATGTGGGGAAGCCCCAGTTTAAGATCCTCCCCGTGTCCTGGGATTACAGGTGACGTGGCATGCCCAGTGCTCTCCAGCCCTTTTGTTGTTGTTATTTAAATTTTGAGACAGGGTCTCTGTATGCTGCCCATGCTGGCCTCCAATTTGTGATCCTCCAGCTTCAGCCTTATGAGAAACTGGGACTACAGGAGTGTACCACCTGGGTGGGGCTTATTGTAAAAATAATTTGGGGTACAAGTCCCCTGGCTCCCCTCCCCTCCCAGCCCTTCCCATCTCACATGTGCCTCTGGAAGCTGGAAGAAGCATGGAATCAGTACTTCCGAGTGCCTTGCAGTCTAGTGGGGGAGATGTGGGGCGACCTACAATTGCGAATATTGTAAAATTACTGTCATAGGAATGCCTGATGCTGGAAACCAAAGAAGGCCTCCCAGAGAAGTCTGGAACTGAATTTGAAGGCTGAGTGGGGTCCTAGAACAGAGAGGTAGGGAAAAGAGGCATCTGGATGTGGCTGCAGGACCCAGGAGCAGCCTTGAGAGATGTGGGCATGGAACGTGGCCAGGAGCCTGTGCTTTGTACTCTGTACTCTGTGTTTGGTTCTGTAATGTGTTCTTGAGGTTCAGGCTGGTCTGGACTGCTAGCGAGACCCTGTTGTGTGCTAAATGAGGGAACTCAACCTTTGTCTGAAAGCCAGGGCCACCCTTTGAGGGATTTCACATGGGCAAGTGAGTTGATTAGATTTGTGTTTCAGAAAGATTATTTCCATAGGCAAATCAAAGGAGGCCAGCCTAGGACAGCAGTAGAGGCAAGGGATGGAAGGAAAGACTCCAAGGCCACCCAAGGAAGGAGGACTTGGAATTGAGACCTGGTAGAGGGAGGTGGTCCCAGTAGAAGGAGGGGACTGGAACTGAAGGTTAGCACACAGCTTCCTGTCTTAGCACCACAGTAGGAGGAGGTTGCTAATCCTCAGAAAAACACAAGAGATGTGTTACTGTTGGGCACATCATTTGAAGGATGAGATGGGGGTCCAAAATGGCACGCGTTGCCACTTAATCACAGCAAGCCTTCAATGTATAATGCATTTACAGTTATTTCCTAGGTCATGGATCTAAAGCAATCCCGTGCACAGTGATATCGCAAGGTTAGGCAGGGTGGTAATACCTGGCCACTTGGCTGTTTCACAGCAAGGTACCCAGCATTCCTGGGTTCCATGACCCACACAAGATGATATTCGAAAAGGGAGCATTCTTTACCAACCTCCCTCCTTGGGCTGAGACCTGATTTAGAGTCTCCTGTGAGAAGGCCCCTGAGGGAACACTGGTCACCCAAAAGGAACAAGAAAGATACCTGTGAGATACCGACATTCCCAAGTCACCCCTAAGAGAAATGTGAATAAGCACCATGCCGACCATAGTTTCCTGAACCCCAGTGCATAAGAAGCACCCAGAAACACAGGTAGGGCAGATGCCTTCATGGCACTGTCCACCTTGTTACTTGAAGGTGTAACTCTCTTCTTCCATTTTACAAGAAATTCTACTTGTACTTCTGCATGTTGTGTGTCACTTGACTGAATTTTTTCACTGAGGGCACAAGGAATTAAGGACCAAGGAAGTGAGGGGCCGGTTCCTCCTGCATCAGGACCCAGCATCCAGGTAATATTATGATTTATACCTAGATGTCCCCCAGAGCCTCCTGGGCTCAGGGTTGGGGCTTGTGGACTGCATTGGATTATGATTTGGTGTTGGGAGGTGGGGCCTGAATGAGAAGGGGGGTCGCTGGGCTCCTGAGCTGGATGGGTGGGTCTGCCTCCCCAGCTTCTCCCTTTGCTCTCTGCTTCCTGGCTGCCCTGAGGTGAGCAGCTTTTCCTCTGCCAGACCCCTATGCCACACTGTCCTCTCTTGGAGCCAGCCCACTATGGATTAAAACGTGAGCCAAAATGAATGAACCTCTCCAGCTTTAAATTGCTGGTATCAGGTATGGTGTCCAGGCCATAAGGAAAGTAAGACACACAGCAGCCATCACATGCAGAAATGACTTAGTTTTTAAAAGTTGTGTGTGGTTGCTACAAGATAAAAAATACAAAGGCCCTAGAGGACACAGCAGCCACATAGATTTGGAAGGTGTTTCAGCCTTTAGGCTGAGCCATACAGATTAGGAAGATGTATGGTTATAGGTAGAAGGTAAATACAGAGTAGAGAAACATTCAGTGAATTAGACTGCCACAGCTGCCATAAAAAGTACCACAAACTGAGTGGCTTAGACAACTGACATTCGCTGCCTCACAGTTCTGAGGCTGGAAATCTCAGATCGGTGTTGGAGAGGTCCGCCTTGCTCCCTCTAGCAGATCTGGGTTCTGCTCCAGGCTCCTCTCCTGGCTTCTACAGTAGCGCCTTGGCTACCACAGCATAACTTGTGTCTCCTCATGGTGTTCTTCCTGTGTGCATGTCTCTTCAGTCCAAAGTTTCCTTTTTTATAGGAAACCAATTGTGTTGGATCAGGGGCCCACCCTACTCCCTCCAGTATGACCTCATCTTAACTAATTACATCCGCCTCTAGGTGTTAGATTTCTATCAATGTGACAAAATACCCGAAATAGCCAGTGTGAAGGAGGAAAGTTCATTTTGGCTCTTAATTTCATGGGTCTCACTCCATGGTCATGTGGCCCTGTTACTTTCAGGCTGTGGCCACATATCGTATCATAGCAAAGTAGGCCTGGTCAGCTCACGGTGTCCAAAAAGCAAAAAGACCCAAAGGAAGGGGCCAGGTCCCACTATCCCCTTCAAGGGCACACCACAATCACTGATTTCCTCCACTAGCCCACACCTACTGAAGGTTCCAATACTTTTAATAGTGGCATGGGTGGGTCCAAGCCTGTCACATATGGGGCTCTGGGGAACACTCGACATCCAAACTTTAGGGGCTGAGGATGTAGCTCAGTGGTACAGTGCTTGCCTAGTGTGCAGGAGCCCTGGGTTTGATCCAGAGCATTGAAAAAAATCCAGACTCTGGCATCTTATTCTATCTCCTATTTGGAAATTACTTTATTTCCATGTCAAGTCACACTCAGGTTGTAGGGATTAGGGCTTCACCACTGGATTTTTTTTGGAACATAATTCAACCCATCTGATTCACATAGTGTGAAGTGAGTTATAAGAGCTGTACTGAGGGTGGATATGAGAAATCAGCTTTAAGTGGGCGAAGAGAGACACTTTAGATGGAAACCAAGAGAAAGGGCTAGAAAGCACAAGAAAGATGACCCACAACAGGGAAGTGAAACAGTTAAGAAAGGAGTGATTAGCAGTGCCAGATGCTTAAAAGGTCAGGTAAGGTAAAGCTAGAAATTACTCATTGCCTTTGGCAATGTAATTGTCATTGACAAAATGGTCAGACTAACAGATGGACATCTGTTTAACATCTATAATGTTAAAGTCACTTTCCAGGCAAACCTATTGAGGGAATCAGGTATATAGTGCACACGTACCACCTTGGAATCTGGCATCTCTGGTCAGAACCTGAGGTTTCCAGCCTCCCTTGCAGCTAGGACTTGAAAATGGCAATTAGAAGGATGCATTGTGGGCCACAATTCAGATGAAAAACAATGTAAGAAAATAGATCTAGGGAAGCTGTGTTCTGTAGGGGCAGAGCTTGGTGGAGAGAAATGGAGACTCAGGCCAGTAGGGTCAAAGTGCCGATGGAAACCTCACTACCATGCTCTTCAGAAGCAGTACTAGAGCTTATTCTGGAACCATCTGGTGGTATAATTTCTAAGTCATTTTTAGCTGTGTGACCTCCAATTTCCATTCTTTGGACCACTTGGAGACGTTCCAAGCTACTTAATATTCTTATGTTTTTAATGATAGTTTTATTAAGATATAATTCACATGCATATAATTGGTACATTTAAAGGGTAAAGTTCGGTGGCACTTAGTATAGTCACACAATTACATAACTTTTATCTCGTCTAATTTCAGAACATTTTATAACTCCAAACAGAAGCCTTCTTCCTTTCTCCTCCCTTTCCCTTCTCTCTCTGGAGTCACATTTTCTAGGCAGTTCATATAAATGGAATCATATAATATATGGCTTTTTGTGGCTAGCTTCTTTCACTTAGAACGGCTTGAAGGTTTATC